TCCAACAACATAGGTTACAATTAGATTAGCATGACCAATTATGCAAATTAGGCGATGACGTCATTTAGCGACTTCTAGCGACTTTTAGGACAGCCAATAGCGATTTTCCTTACTGAGGAGTTGGCAACACTGCGCAGAGGGAGAGTGAGAGACGAAAAGCAGCAGAGCATGGCAGTTGTATGCAGTTTGTGTGATTCCGTGTGCATTAATGAGACTGTAAGTGTTATTACCTTTGACAGGTTAACTGGTATGATAATAGTTATAGTTGTTTGTGTATGTTTAAGCTAAAGTTATGCCTCAGTACACTGCTACCACGTTAGTAGGTTTATTTAATTATTTAATTAATTAGCACTAAGTTAATACCAGTGGCCAGAATCTCCCCCAATGACTATATCCCGCGGTTAAAGGATTTTTCTGTTGTTTATTGTTTAGTTTAGCTGTTAGCTTGCCACATGCTTGCCTTAGTACTAGCAACTGGGAAGATATGTGCTATTTAGCCAACTTCTGGTCTTACGGCGACCCCTTGTGGACATTGTAAAATATTGCTGTGTCTGAGTAGATGATGTGTTCTGATTGTTGCTTAGTTATCTTTGACCCTGCTAATTATAGTATTACCTGTTTCTGTTTCCAGACAACCATGCTTATAGTCACCGGTACTGCATCTGCCACAATTAGAAGTGCATATCTGGCTGTATCATAGTTGGATTTATCCTGGCAAGCCCTGCTGTAACCAGTTCTTCTGTGAAGCTTCATTAAAGACGGTGAACTAAACTCCTGGACTGCTGCAGTCTTTCTGACCGAAGACTTAGGCCAAACATGTATACCCAGCACTTCCAGTATATATATATATATTCTACATTCAACATGCTGGGTTTCATGATACACTGAATAGTGATTTTTGCCAATAAAGTGCTGAATTAGACAAATGTGATTTATTTACTGATATTGTTTATGGAATGTAACTGTTATGGAAAGAAAGGTGTAAATTAGAGAAGCTGAACCATTTTAAAGGGAACATGTTTCACTGAGGTTGTGAAATAAGTGAATGTAATTGATGTGAACAAAGAACCAGCTGGATTGTATAGTGGAAGCTCATGTTTAGTGTTTATATAGTATTTATTTGTGTGAAATAAATCAGACTCGGACACATTCTGGAGGAAAACAGAGACTCATTTTGTCTTCATTACTCCACTCTTCCTGCTTTTATAGGTAACATATTTGTCACCGTGGTCTTCATCCTTGCAGGCCGTAACACATGTTTATCTGATTTGAAAATATCAACAGTGTGTGTAGTGTAGATTATCTCACGGAATTGTGCTGTTGGCACATATGCAGGATTACACATCAACTAAGCATAACATTGTAAACATTCACAGGTAAATGCAATAGCTCTGGATATTTCTTTATCATGGCACCTGTTACTGAGTAGAATATATTGGGGGGAAAGTGAACATTTATTCTCAAAGTTAAGTTTGTGAAGTCCAAACTTGCGCTGATGCGCAATTGGACGGAAGGCTAACATGGGTGGTCTAATGCAACAGACAAGTTTCTGTAGCTCAAGTTATTGAAAAAGTTCATGCTGGTTCTGATAGAAATGTGTCAGAATACACAGAGCATCACAGTTTGTTGAGTATGGGACTGCATAGCTGCAGACTGGTCAGGGTTCCCATGCTGACCTCTGCTCACTACAGAAACCACCAACAACTTTCCTGTGAGCATCAGAACTGGACCACAGAGCAATGAAAGAAAGTGGGCTGGTTTGATAAATTACATTTTGTGATAGCAAGGTGCTTGTGCATTGATTACTTGGGAAATACCAGGCACCAAGATCCACTATGGAAAGAAAGCAAGCCGGCGGAGGCAGTGTGATGTGTTGGGAAATATTCTCCTGGGAGACCTTAGATTCTGCCATCCATGGATGTGGACCTGATCAAACCCTGATGGTTGTGGCCTCTTTCAGCAGCACAATCTGTGCTGCCACAAAGCAAAACCAGTCTAGGAACAGTTTGAGGAGAACAACAACGAGTTTGAGGTGTTGACTTGGCCTCCAAATTTCCCAGATCTCATTTCAATCGAACATCTGTGGGATGTGCTGGACAACAAGTCTGATCTATGGAGACCCCACCTCACAATTTACTCGACCTGACCTGTGAAGTCTAGTATTCTGCTGACTTTCAATACCACAGCAGCAGGTATATGGGCTCAAATTGTGGTTATAAATATTTTGTACTTGTAAATCAGGATTTGTATGTGTAAAAAGAATTTGTGTGTTGACTTAGCCAAAAAATACGTGTGAAACTCTGCACTCAAGTTTCAAGTACAAATTTTGACCCTATTTTTCTTCCTTTTAGTTGATTGGCCAATGTCATGTCAATCACAAATTTAACTATCCAATCAGTGAACAGATTAGTTTTGCTGTCGGAGGGGCACTTTTTTGAACTGCAGGACCTTGAAGGGTAATACAGTTTGAAGCTGGAGGATCTCTATATAAATATTTGATAGAAGCTAGGTCCCCTAACTTTCAGTAGCTGTTGAAAGTTGTGGTATATCAGTAGTTAGAAATACCATTATTACTTTAGGATTAGTTTAACACAAAGTCAGGGCTGATCCGGGACCATTGCTGTGAGTCACAGTGAGCAGCATAAAAGTCCTTTCACATCGGACGCAGCATGTGCTGCTAATACTAACTAAAAGCCAAGGATCCAGAATTTGTTGGGCTGGCTGCTGAGCTCTGCCTGTACTAGATGCACCTGCTCCTTGTCGTTTCTATCTCTGACTTTATGTCCTCTACAAGAGTTTTTTTATTTTTTTTTATTTTAAATGTTCAATAAAAACATGTATTTGTAATTCAGAACGAACAAAGCTTTGTAAATATCCCCACTAGTGAAGACTGTGTCATTTCCACAGCACTGCCCCCCCTCAGTCCGCAGCGCTGTTGAAAAGGCTGTAGAGGTCCCTGTAGTAATAAGCACGTAAACCTGCGACACAAAAATCACCAAACTCGGACGACCACAGACTGTTTTCCTTCGTGGTGATGAAGGAAAACGCTGGGTTGGCATGTAAAAGGACATTTATTCCATCAGGACCTGAAGCTCCATAAAGCACCCCTCCAATAGCCAAACCTATCTGTTCGCCAATTGGATTGTTCAATTTGTGATTGACATGACATTGGCCAATCAGATGAAAGCAAGAAAAATTAGCGTCAAAATTCGTACTTGTAACTTGAAACTTGAAACTTCTTTCACACAGATTTTTTGGCTAAGTCTACACACAAATCTCTTTTACGCACACACAAATTCTTTTTACACATAGTACAGAGTACAAAATACTTATGACCACAATTTGAGCCCATGCAGGTGAATCAGAGTATTCATGACCTCTAGTGGGGACGTCTTTAACTGCAGGCGATGTACAAAAGGGACACATTCATTCATAAAAGAAAATGATCCAGTTATCATTCAGGAAAATTGTCAGTTTCAACATTTAATCTGGATTAAAACTGCTCAGAATCTCCAAACGTTTGTAGAAAATTCATTTAGAAAAACAGTGAATGATGTGACCTCATCTTTACTCCATAATCAAGAATCATTTTGCATTCATATATTTATCATGAATGTCATCTGGAAATATTTGTGTTTTTCTGTTTAGTTTTTATTTTTCCTTTGTGTGTCCTAAATTTTTCTAAATTGTTTCCAACAGAATCGTGGTGAATCTTCTTACTAACTGGCCTCAGATATTCACTGGTGAGACAATCATCTCTAAGATATGAGATACAAGGAGGTGAAGGCAAGGGGTTTGAAATACAAACGGGCACCACCCAACACAAACAACCTTCAGACATCTGGTGAATACAGGATCATCTAACTCCATCCATCTTCATCCCTATCATCCTCTTCTGTCACACCAACCTTCTGTATTTCCTTCTTCACTACATCCATGAATCTTCTCTGTGGTCCTTTTCTTCATCCTGCCTAACAGCTCCATCTTCAACATCCTTTGTTTAGAATATCAACTATTCCTCCTCTGCACATGTCCAAACCATCTCAGCCTTGTGTCTCTGACTTTGTTTTCAGCTCGGCCTCCTGTCTTTTTGTAAGTGCCATCATCTGCAAACCATATAGCTGTAGTGATCGTCACCTCTCTTCTCAACTTCGCTTCAACAACCCATAGTTTCCCATAGTTATTCCCTGTCCTTTGTTTTTTTATGTCACAGATATGTCATCTGGGTCTGCCTTTCCACTCTTCATCCTAAATGCTCCCTCAGTGTGGAAACTAGTTACTGCTCTAATCAAATGAACAGTCTTAATGTTTCTGTGCTACACACAGCATGCTAACATCCAATCACACACACAAAGGTCTACCCTAATATCCTCTTCACCTTATGTATTTGAATCATAACATCATGAATGAACAGAAAAACCAGATCATCATTAATTAATTGAAGTGTAGTTTAGCTGCATTTGGCAGATTTTTTTCTTTCTCTGAACCAGCAGATGATGCATCGCTCGCTGGGCTTTGAAGGATTTCTTTTTCTATCTGTCACCTGCCATATTTGCTGCATTCATAGCTGCCTACACCAGAGAATCCAGGAACAGCAGATTTCCTGTTGAGGAATTCCACTTTTCTTCCATTCAAACCTCTGATGGATTAAAAATGATTCTGCTCCTGAGTTTTTGGATTGTCACAGGTAAGGTGAATATAATACCTTTTTATTAGCTAATTTCAACCTTAATCTATTTATTATTTATGTGAATCTATTTTTTTAAGATACGTATCAGAGATTTCATTAGGAAAATAACTGTCACTGTGATGACTGAAGCAAAGTTTAATAAATGAAATGAAATCTATTTTTTCTTTTGATGATTAAAAATAATTACTCTCAGCCTAATGTGGCAAAACAGAAGATATCAAAGTGATTTCCTTTTTCATACACCTGCTTCAATATGTGTATTGTATTCATGGTGTGATTTTAAGGTGTTTTAATGTGTTTTTAAGGTCTCATGGCAGAGGACCAAACAGCGACATATTATCAACTGAAAAACAGCTCAGTGTGTCTGAATGTTAAGAAATTGCCAGAATATGAATGTGTCGAATGGAAGTTTAACAAGACAATTATTGCTGATGATAGAAAAATCAATCCAAAATACAAAGACAGAGTGGTTTATAGTGCTGGGAACCTCTCCCTGTGTATTAATAACCTGGCTGATACAGATGCTGGGATATATGAAGTCTCATACCGCCAAAACTTTATTACAATGTCAGAGAAACATCAAGTCATTGTTCAAGGTAAGTCACAATGAGAACTTTGTCTTTAGCCTGTGCACAATTGTGACTGAAAGAAAAACAGAATCTGTCATTGTCTTTAACCACAACATCATATATCCTACAATTTAAGAAACATCCAGGTTATTGTCTGTTCTCCTTTTTGCATTAAATCATTAATTTATCTGTTTGGCTCAAAATTACAGATGTGGTTCCCAGACCTGTCATTATAATGTCAAAGCTTAGCTCCAACCAGTCTGCTGGACTCACAGTAATCTGCTCCATCCAGGATTATTGGCTTTGGTCTGTTTGTGATGAAGACAGCTGCAGAACATCTCAGAAATCATTCAGTGAGGTCAACATCACCATCTTCACTGAGAACAGAGCTGTGGTCTGTAGATGCAACAACCACAAATAAAGCTTCTGAAAGCTTAACACTGTGTAAGTATTAAATATTAATTAAAAATAACTGGCTGTTGATTTTATTTAGACAAATACATTGAATTGAATATTTTTTTTATATCGTTCCCTGTAATTTAAATAGTTAAATGTCTAAAAAAGAAATGTTCTCATATCTTTACCCTATTGTTTGTTATCATAAAAGTGATTTTATTTGTATGTCTGAAATGAAAAAAAGAAATACTAATTGAAACTATGTTTTCAAATCTGCAGGTTTTAAATCTAATAAAGATGAAGAGAAATCACAACAACTCATACTGTTCTGTCCTTATTGTGCGTCCCTTTGCCCAACTTGACAGACAGCTAACGGTTTCAATGAACATTGGAGGCGGAAGTAAGTTTAAGGCTTTTTACTTCGTCAGTAGTTCAATGATTGACATCCTTTTCTTCCCGTAAAACTAAAAACAAACACAAAGTAAATGTCACAAGATGTCTTTTTCCTTTTTACACACACTTCTAGGATATGAACTATACTGTTATATAGTATGTGTAATCAACAGCCACTCAGTATTGATCACAATACAACTTAGCGAGTTTAGCTTCCTCAAAGATAAACATAACAGATTAAATAACTGGTTTCTAAACAAATCTCTGTAATAGAAATGCACCGAATAAACTTGTAAACATGTTGTACATTAATACTCACAAGCAATAACTCTCCAAGGCAGAAACGTTTTAAAGAGCAACAACATATTCTGCAGGCTAATGAGAGCGTGAACGTCTTTCAGTCCATACAGACCAGCAGCCAAAGAGAGGAAATGATCTCCATTGAAAGCCACAAAGCAGATACAACTGTCCAGAAGTGACGGCCACCATGGAGGAGGCCCTCCAAACAGACTGACTCAGTTTACAGCAACAAATCTGCTACATACACAGAACCACCAAGAGGTCAAACAAGATCTGTGAACAGGGGGAAACAAAAGGAAACAGAACAGAAACAAAACAAAGAAACTGAGTTGTTGTTTTTTTTATTTCAGACAGATACTCCAAATAATGACTAAAGCACTTAAAAAATAATAACAACCCTCCACCAAGGTATCTCACTCTGGTCAGTATTTACTTTAAAAGGAACAGTATCTTGTATATATTAATTTTGTTTTCTTTGTTCTTTTTAAACATACTTTAATACTTTGTAGAAACAAGTGTAAAAACAAATACAAAGTGCTGGATTTTTTTCATTTTTCCTCTTGAAACCCATTTTGACATGTTTGGCATCATTTTGACTGTAACTGTTTGTTTGTTTTATATGGATATAGTACATGTGTAGCATTCATTTCATTGTTCAGTGATGAATTTCAAGTGAAAGTTTTTGATCATAAGTTTATTTTGTTTTCCAAAAATAATAGTTATTCAGAAACAGTTATAACCTGTTAGTGTGATGTACATAACAAAGTCATAATAAAAGGAATCAGTGATACTCAAAAAGTGCCCCATGTCAACATGACCTTGGTGGATGTAAGCCAACTTTTAATGGGCTGTTAACATGCCACCACTCTACATCCCTACAAAGTTTTATCACAACTCCATTTTTTCAGCTATCATGTTTACAGAGAGAAGAAAACACAAACAAGCACTACCAAAAATTAATTTGTTCAAATCTTTCATTTCTAGCTCATAAATATTTAGCATAAAAGAGACAAAGAAATGCAGCAGGGTGCAAGATTGTAGCAGCCAGGGCATACATAGAACGCCATAGCCTTTACTGCTGTCACGCTGGAAACAATAAAGTTAAATATTAATTCAGTCACATTTTGACATCCTTAACTTTCAAATCCTATTAAATGTTTCTTCTATTAGTCCACTATGCTGATGGTAAGTCTGACTCGTTAAAAACATATATATATATATATATATATATATATATAAAACACCCAGCACGCCCCTGCGGGCGGTTTATCCTTCAAGCTCGGGTCCTCTACCAGAGGCCTGGGAGCTTGAGGGTCCTGCGCAGTATCTTAGCTGTTCCCAGGACTGCGCTCTTCTGGACAGAGATCTCCGATGTTATTCCCGGGATCTGCTGGAGCCACTCGCCTAGCTTGGGAGTCACCGCACCTAGTGCTCCGATTACCACGGGGACCACCGTTACCTTCACCCTCCACATCCTCTCGAGCTCTTCTCTGAGCCCTTGGTATTTCTCAAGCTTCTCGTGTTCCTTCTTCCTGATATTGCTGTCATTCGGAACCGCTACATCGATCACTACGGCCGTCTTCTTCTGTTTGTCTACCACCACTATGTCCGGTTGGTTAGCCACCACCATTTTGTCCGTCTGTATCTGGAAGTCCCACAGGATCTTAGCTCGGTCATTCTCCACCACCCTTGGGGGCATCTCCCATTTTGACCTCGGGACTTCCAGGTTATACTCGGCACAGATGTTCCTGTACACTATGCCGGCCACTTGGTTATGGCGTTCCATATATGCCTTGCCTGCTAGCATCTTGCACCCTGCTGTTATGTGCTGGATTGTCTCTGGGGCATCTTTACACAGCCTGCACCTGGGGTCTTGCCTGGTGTGATAGACCCCAGCCTCTATGGATCTTGTACTCAGAGCTTGTTCTTGTGCTGCCATGATTAGTGCCTCTGTGCTGTCTTTCAGTCCAGCTTTGTCCAGCCACTGGTAGGATTTCTGGATATCAGCCACCTCCTCTATCTGCCGGTGGTACATACCGTGCAGGGGCCTGTCCTTCCATGATGGTTCCTCGTCTCCCTCCTCTTTCTTGGGTTTCTGCTGCCTGAGGTATTCACTGAGCACTCGGTCAGTTGGGGCCATCTTCCCAATGTATTCTTGGATGTTCGTTGTCTCATCCTGGACTGTGGTGCTGACACTCACCAGTCCCCGGCCTCCTTCCTTCCGCTTAGCGTACAGCCTCAGGGTGCTGGACTTGGGGTGAAACCCTCCATGCATGGTAAGGAGCTTTCTTGTCTTTATGTCAGTGGCTTCTATCTCCTCCTTTGGCCAGCCTATTACCCCAGCAGGGTACCTGATCACGGGCAGGGCGTACGTGTTGATGGCCCGGATCTTGTTACCATTCAGCTGACTCCTCAGGACTTGCCTGACCCTCTGCAGGTACTTGGTGGTTGCAGCTTTTCTAGCGGCCTCTTCATTGTTCCCATTCGCCTGCGGGATCCCCAAGTACTTGTAACTGTCCTCTATGTCTGCAATGTTGCCTTCTGGTAGTTCAATCCCCTCAGTTCTGACTACCTTCCCTCTCTTTGTTACCATCCGACTACACTTCTCCAGTCCGAACGACATTCCAATGTCATTGCTGTATAGCCTGGTAGTGTGGATCAGTGAATCGATGTCTCGTTCACTCTTGGCATACAGCTTGATGTCATCCATGTACAGGAGGTGGCTGACAACTGCTCCGTTCCGTAGTCGGTATCCGTAGCCAGTCTTGTTAATGATCTCACTGAGGGGGTTCAGGCCTATGCAGAACAGCAGTGGGGACAGAGCATCTCCTTGGTAGATCCCGCACTTGATGGTGACTTGTGCTATGGGCTTGGAGTTGGCCTCTAGTGTTGTACGCCACATCCCCATTGAGTTCCTGATGAAGGCTCTTAGGGTCCGATTGATCTTGTACAATTCTAGGCATTCCAGTATCCAGCTGTGGGGCATTGAGTCATAGGCCTTCTTGTAATCAATCCAGGCAGTGCACAGGCTGGTCAGTCTGGTCTTGCAGTCTCGGCTGACTGTTCTGTCTACCAGTAGCTGGTGTTTTGCGCCTCTGGTATTCTTGCCAATTCCTTTCTGTGTCCCGCTCATGTATTGACCCATGTGCCTGTTCATCTTAGCCGATATGATGCCTGACAGGAGCTTCCATGTAGTACTGAGGCAGGTTATTGGTCGGTAGTTGGAGGGGACCGGTCCCTTCTTGGGGTCCTTGGGGATCAGGACCGTCCGACCTTCGGTTAGCCATTCCGGGTGTCTCCCGTTAACTAGCAGCTGGTTCATTTGTGCTGCCAGACGCTCGTGGAGTGCAGTCAGCTTCTTTAGCCAGTAGGCGTGAACCATGTCGGGCCCTGGTGCTGTCCAACTCTTCATACTGGAGACCCTTTCTTGGATATCTGCCACTGTGATGGTTACTGGACCCTGCTCAGGGAGGTCGCTGTTGTCTGCTCTTAGATCCACTATCCACTGAGCATTGCCATTATGGGTTGCGTCCTTCTCCCATATGCTCTTCCAGTATTGCTCCGTCTCCAGCCTTGGTGGTGCTGTTCTCTTATTGTTCCCTTGCCACTGAGAGTACACCTTTGCTGGTTCTGTGGAGAACAGCCGGTTTATTCTCCTGCCTTCTATCTCTCTGGTGTACCTCCTCAAGCGGCTGGCCAAGGCTGTGAGTCTTTGCTTGGCAGTTTCCAAGGCCTCAGGTATGGACAGCTTGCTGTATTTCTTATGCACCTTCTTTGTCGCACCTTTCTGCAACTCCGTTAATTGGCTAACCTCCCTCCGTGCTACTTTGATCTTGCCCTCTAGCCTCCTTCTCCATGGAGGGTACTGCCCCTTGTGGCTGTTCAACTTGTATATATATATATATATATATACATATATATATATATATTATATATATATTATATTATATACATTATATATAATGTATATAACTATACATATATATATATATATATATATATATATATATATATATATATATATATATATATATATATATATATATATTAGGGGTGCAACGATACACAAAATTCACGGTTCGGTTCGATACTTTGGTGTCACGGTTCGATATTTTTTCGATACAAAAAAAATGTTCATGCCTTTTTAATTTGTCATTTATTAAAATTATAAATATATATTTTAACTCAAAAGTACAGTTTTTAAATTTAACCCTAACCCTTCTGCGTGTTTTTTATTTTGACAGCGAATGCGCACCTGCGGACCACTGATGTGCATCCCTGGTTATTTAGCTCGTCATATTGCAGCCACAGAAATACTTTTGTCCATGAAACCATAAAGCTGCACTTTCTTTTTGCCTTATAGTCTGATTTGTCATAACTTCTCCGTTTTGTGGTAAGCTTTTCTTTGGCTGTCACTTCTTCACCCTGACCTGTCTTATTTGGCTCAGCAGAACTAAAATATATATCCTGCTGCTTTTACACACGCACTCACATAAGCTCAGCGATTCTCTGCGCGATCAACCTCTCACATGTTTAAGCTTGCTGTGGGAGATTTCACTTGTCATGTTTGCATAGTAAGCTAACGATTAATAAGACGATGTCAGAGGAATTGGTGCACAAATTATCATCACTCACAGATCAGTGCTGTCGCTCTCTATACACAGTTCGCACGATTGCAAAGTGAAAGCAAAAAAACAAGCGCAAATTCAAACGCGATTTCAATATGTCACATATTGACAGTGGCTCACCGATGCCAATGACATAATTACCCAGCTACATTTCTGAAAGAATGCAAAAGCATTGACATATATTTTTCCTTCCTACAATAGCCCGACGGGCAGGGAAGAGATAGATTTTGGTAGCCCGACTGAAAAAATCGCTAGCTCCGGGACGTCGGGCTAGCGATATTGCAAGCCCTGTATCTGATTGAGGAATCCCTCATTTTTGGAAAAGAGAGTTTATTACAGAGAAATGTCTCTTTCCAAAATAAAAGCTATACTATCCGCTTCTTCTGGGCTATATTCTCAGCAGCATAAGGAGAATCATGTGCTAACAGCTGTCTCGCTAGCTTGCCCTGCGCTCTTCCTTCTGACTATGCTGTCTGTGTTGAGCGCTCAGTGGATCTGCGCTCGACAGTGCAGCCTAGGCGGAGTAGTCGAACGCAGATTCACATATACATATACATATATATATATATATATATATATATATATATATATATGTACAGTGTGTGCATATAAAAATGCATTTTCTGTAATACATATTTAATAAAGGGCAGTGAACGAGACATCACTTCACTGATCCACACCACCAGGATTTACAGCCATGACATTGTGATGTCTTTCGAATTTGGGAAGTGTAGTCAAATGGTAACTAAGAGGGGGAACGTTGTCAGAGGTGAGGGGATAGAACAACCAGAAGGCAACATTGCAGACATCAAGGACAGCTACAAGTACCTGGGAATCCCACATGCAAATGGGAACCACAAAGAGGCTGCTATGAAAGCTGTAACCACCAAGTACATGCAGAGATTAACGCAGGTCCTGAGGAGCCAGCTGAATGGTAAGAACAAGATCTGGGCTATCAACACCTACGCCTTGCCTGTGATCAGGTACGGAAGGAAGGAGACTGGGGACCAGCAGATAGAGGAATTGGCTGACATTCAGAAGTGCTACAAGTGGCTGGACAAAGCTGGACAAATTGACAGCACAGATGGAACGCTATAACCAAGTGGCTGGCATAATATACAGAAAAATCTGTGCTGAGTATGGCCTGGAAGTCCCGAGGTCAAAATTTGAGATGCACTCTAGGGTGAGAAACACTAAGCTAAGATCCTATGGGACTTACAGATACAGATGGACAAAATAGTCATGTCTTACCAACCAGACATACTAGTGATAGACAAGCAGAGGAAGACAGCTGTAGTGACAAATGTAGCGATATCGAATGACAGCAACATCGGGAAGAAGGAACACCATCAGGAAGATCTGGAGGATGAGGGTAATAGTGGTCCCAGTGATAATCGCAACACTTGGTGCAGTGACCTCCAAGTTAGGTGCAGTGACCACGAGTCAGTTGTACCAGCAGAGCCAAGGTACAACATCCGAGATCTCTGTCTAGAAGAGCACAGTCCTGGGAACAGCTAAGATACTGCACAGGACCCTCAAGTACCCAGCCCTCTGGTAGAGGACCCGAGCTTGAAGGAGGGGAAAAATATTTAACCTTCAAGACCTCACATTTTGGGTTGTCTAGACTACAATATTAAATTTTGCTCTACAAGGGCCTGATATCCTCTTCTCAGAAACTACATCAGGTAAAAAAAAAAATCTTTGGTTTTACATTCATCAGGTCCCAATCAGCCCACATAGCAAAGAGAAATTAAAAATGCATGCCGATTTTTAATTGATTCCATTTATAGTGATTCTTAATCGATGCATGCGATTAACAATCCTATAAATGGAAATGGGATGCAGACAGCATTTGGTACCTAGGGGCGGTAATACACCCTGACTTCACCAAAATGTTTGATGCCAACTATGGCCCACTGAATGAATCCATAAAATCTGATATACAAAGATGGAATACCATAGCTTTTCTGGACCTGCTCTCTAGGATTGAATCAATTAGGTTAAACATTCTTCTCCGATGGCTGTATTTGTTTCAGTCCCTACCGATTCTCATACCACAAAAACAATTTGTGGCGTGGTATAGAAAGCTGTTGAAATACATTTGGAATGGGAAAAAAGAAGTTAAATATAAAACCCTCCAACTAAAGAAAGATAATGGAGGTTGTGGACGTCCTTGTCTACGAGAGTGTAACTGTGCAGCTCAGATAAGACTATTGATATGTCTCTGTTGTGTATATTACGCCACGGGACGGAAAGATGTTGAAGGAACAATTGTTAAAGGAGTACCAGTTAAAGCCTTAATATCAGAATATTTACAGGTCAGAAATTATTTTATTCAAAACTTAAAAGTGAATCTAAACAATTTACAATTTGTAGAAACATTTTTTATCATTAATTAAATCTGGAGCGCAAAAATTACTTCCAGATTATACATCCTGTGGTGTAAAAACGACAGCACTGTCTATATTAAAGCGAAGTGGGGAAAAGAAGGTAGTCTAATCATTACAGACAAGTTTTGGGGCAACATATGCAAGATACAGTGGACCACAACCGGGTCGAATGTTTGGCGTGAATTTTGCTGGAAAAGCATCCTGAGATTCTTCATCATCCCTGCTCAGAAAAGGTATCGGGGATGTGGGGGAGATGGTGCTAACCATTTCTATATCTTTTGGGACTGCCAAGTAATTCACCAGTATTGGTCTCTAATCCATGAACATCTACAAAATGTTTTTTCATTTGCTTTTCCTCCTTTGAGACCATATTTCTGTGTAACATACCAGTGGATAAACTGAACTCCATTGATAGAAGACTTTTGTATATCCTAGTGACCACGAGTCAGTAGTCAGTGGGGTCCATAGGGCGTGAGTAAAGCACTAGTGATGTGCGATACCACTGATTTCCTTGCCGATCCGATACCAAGTATAATTCAGGGTGGTATTGACGACACTGATCCGATACCGATACTTTGCACAAAAACGTATTTTATTTATTGTATCTGAAATTATAGCGTCATAATGATTACAGGGCTTCAGGTTACTTGTTCTTATCACTTAGTAATGCAGAGTTCATCATATAGAAATAAGAAAACTCAAGTTGTGCTCTATTTGAACACCTTGCCTGCCTGCAGCACTAAAGGTCGCCGTGAAAGACGTCTGTCTCCCCCTAGCAGCACCTGTCCCTGTTCCCCTCTTCAGTTCGCCTCAACATGCGCTCATCATATTCTGTGATATGATTTACTGTGAGGTGTTTGACGAGGTTAGTGATGTTGCAACAACACCTCACTGTCTTGCCACATGAATCGCAAACCGCGTCTGTTTGTGGATGTAAAATACATCCACAAATGGCTCCATTTACGCTCAGCCATTGTTGTGAGTGCGCACGCCAGGGGCTGCGACACATTTATACAGACGTACTTCGCACATGACTATGAAAGGCGGAAGAGAAAGTTCTGGAAAGAGAAATTCTTTCCAATGTAGACAATCTGAATGATATAGTTTCTTTCCACTGTGTTCCTGTTAATGATAAACTACAAATGTATCCAAAATTACTAAAATATCGATATTTTAATGTGAGAATCGATTCTAGAACATAAATGACTGGTATCGGAGGAATCGATATTTCAGTATCGATCCGCACATCACTATAAAGCACTGTACAATTACAGGCCATTTACCATAAAAAAACGAGGAGATGGCTCAAGTCTGTTAACCACCAGCGATAAAAAGACTGGATATATTATGTACAAGAGACCTATACAATGGAAAAATTGTCATTCTTTCTTAAAGTGCAGAGGGATACCTTCTTCTTTGTAATATGGTCTAAATGGACGGAATACGTTAAGCCTGTGAGGTGTGATTTTCTATGAACCATGACACTTTATTATTATCATTATTATTATTTTGATGCACTGATTTAAATACCCATGTCAATAATGTGATGCTAACTTGGCTGCCCTGCTACACCCCTCCCCAAGTTTCTATGGGGTTTTCTTTGTTTCTTTATTTGATTTGTTTTTCTTTTCAATTAATGCTTTTATTCTTTTTGCTTTGTTCTATTTTAGTTTTTTTAATTATTATTATTTACTTTTTTTCCCTATTTTTTTTGGTCATTTTCCAATTATAAGTTTAAAAATTTGAAAACAAAAGCAATGTACAAAGCCATACTGCGTGCTTTCTCAATAAAAGACTCAATATGAAAGAGTTCGGTTCTTAGGAGGAAAATATACAGTTACTGCAACCTAAATAAGAATTTTATACTAAAGTAGATGGTATTATCAGTCTTCCATCAATGCTGAGTTTAATTCTTCAATATGATCAGAAACTCAGTGATTTATGCATTTGCAGCAATGTTATCAAACATTGTGAAAGTTCAGCTATTTACTTTATGTTCTTGTCCACAAGTTTCTCTGTTAACGTCCACTTCCTCTTATGAACCTGAAACTAAATCAGAACAAATACAGTGTAAAAACAGAAACAAATATATAATGGTGCTGATGTTGTGAGTCTGCTTTGTGAACTTCTACATTCATATTATGAAAAAAACATATTTATTATCCGTTTTTTCCTGATTTTAGATGTACATGTTTGCGAAATTTTAAAGTCCTGTTATTTTATTATTTGGCTAAACAAGCAACAGATTGAATGTAACTAAAGAAAATGAATGAAAGCCATTCCAACAGGACTCTGAACTTGTTTTACTGGAAGAACAATATGATTTATTTCATTCTTAAACTCATTTGATTGTCAGTGATCCAATGATGTATTTGTACGTTTGTACCTGAGCCTGTCTCATGATCATCATCCTCGTAGTCAGAGCTCACGTCTGGGTCATCATTTCTCCCTGTTCAGACAGTATTAGTGCATTTAATTAAGAACAGCTCTCTTTTATCTGTATTTCAAGATTAGGAGTCACAATAACATATTAATAAACCATGATATCCTTACATTTTCTGAACTCAGTCTTCTCATCAATAACTTTAAGTTCAAGTGTAGATGTGACATTTCTATGTTCATCTGCTTTGCCACCTTAAATAATAACATGACATAATGTCTGATCAGTCAGTTTATAATCATTATATCTCTTATAGCTCTGTTATAGCTCAGTATTATTATACTGTACCACTTCCAGTGTTTCCAGAGGATGTGATTATTTCATAAACTGGAAAATCACCTGCAGGGCAGACAACAGAAGAGAAATTACTTTTTCACGATATTTGTTTGTTAACAAACTTAGTGTTAAAAATGATGCAAGTAATAGTTTCTAGGACTGACCAGGAAGAAGAGAGGAGTAAACGTTGTTCTCATTCTTGTTGGCTTTTTGTTGTGCAGCAGAGTTTTGATTGGTGCTCTGAGACTGAGTGAGACTAAAACATGCAATAAACACTGTGTAATTTAATCAGGAATAGTTATAATTTCATGTTATTTTTAAAATGAAAGAAAACTTTTGCACCAACCTGTTACAACAAAGATCTATAAAAGAAAATTAAAAATTATTGTTGCACTGGTTTGTAATCAGTTTACTTAAATGTGTCACATCAAATCATTGATGAGAAAAGCTCTCACCCTTTATCTTTCTGCAGCAACACAGCAGCAGCATCACAAGGATAATTCCACTAACAAGTCCGATGATGAATGGAACAATAAATGAACCGATTTCAGATCCGAAGCCTAAAGTTTCTGGTAAAATCAAAACACAAAGTCAAACTCGGAAAGAAGTCCAACTAGATCTAATAAAATCCGAAAAGTTTAGGCCACATCAAGAAAAACAATATGAACCTAAAAACAACTTTAAAAGGGTTTTTTTTATTATTAAAGACCCATTTTAACAGCAAGAAGTTTTATGTTTAGAAGTCTTGTTATATATAAAGTTACGATCATAGTTTTGAGTTTGAGATGTTTGAGGGGTTTTCTTTTCTTTTCTTATATCTTTGTATTATAGTTCTGTGCTCCTGTTCTTTGGGTCTTTAGGTTTATTCTATGTTATCATGAGTTTTGTGTTTGAGCTCCATAGTCTTCTGTTTATTTTCTATAGTCCTCGTTATATTATTTATATTTCTTGTTCATGGTTACTTTTGCTTTGTTTATACTCAGCATTCCTCATTAGGTTATGCAATCTTCACTTATGATCGTTTGTGTTTCCTTCGTCTCCGCAGTCAGTCATGTCTCCATGTTTGTTTATCTTCTCTCACTGGGTCAAGTTCACATGTCTTAGTCCTGAACTCAGTATTTTATTTTACTTCCTGTTTTGTTGCATTGTTCCTCATGCTGTGTTTCATCCTTGTGTGTCTCCAAGTTAGGTTTCTCTTGTTGGAGAGGCTCCTGCCTTGTGTTATAATTTCAGCAATGAAGCTACTTTTGTGTTTTATGTCTGGCTTTCCGAATCCTGTGTTTGAGTCCAACCCTGTCTGCCACACAATGAACTGACTTAGTTTAATCTGAAATGTTTATGTTGAAAATATAATCATCTTTATTATTTTAACCTTATTTATTCTGTGTCATTATTAAACAGCACATATAAAACTCAGTTTTACCAAAGCAAAGTTATCTCATAAACCTCATTAAATACGAGAGCACCATGTATATTAGCAGAGTTGCTGTCGCAAAGCCGTCTATGATTATGTTAAGTCACTACTACACTGGTTTTTGAGTTTATTAAAACTGCATTTCAATAAACATTTTTTTTCTAATTTGCAGCTTCATCTCCAGTGGTCTTTTTGTCTGTTTTAATTAAGTAGCAACAAGTTTGAAAAGTTTAGTTTAGTGAATACAATTAAATCTTCAGCTCCAGTTTTTGTCCCAAAAAATAAATAATTAAATAAAGTGAAGTCATTTAAACACACCTCGTACAGTGATGTTGACTGCATTGCTGAACTCTCCTGATCCAGACTCACACCAGTACACAGTAACACCCTCCTGTAAGCTGTGGATCTCATAAGAGGATCCACTCAGTTTCTGGCAGTCACAGCAGTGTGAAAAAAAGCCTTTTTCACTAAACTTCCTCACTCTCCACTCAGTGAAGTTTCCCTCACAGGTCAGTGAGACAGAGTCAGAGGTGAAGTGTTGCACTCTGTCAGGACTCACTGTGAGAGACGCTGCTGAATGAACATCTGAAAAACAGGATGTAAGAAGGGTTAAAACAGGGTTATAATTCAGGCTCAATCTCCAATCACTGTGTTAAGCCTTCTCATTATGGTTCGCATTTAGTCCAATGAGTTCTGAAGATTTTCTGAAATTTTCAGAACTTTGTCTTTTCTCCTCCGTTCTTGTTCATTCTCTTGCATCTCAAAATGCCTCGTCATTTCTTCTCCCTCTGCAGACTGCGGCCCTGTTTTCCCAGCAGAAGAATGTCCTAGCAGCACCATGTGAACCACATAATAACCTTTATAGGTTACTATATAGCATCTGTAATTGGGAAGTGAATGTTTTTAGTAGAGGGCCGATGAACTATTCTGGTTATGTAGGAAAAAAAAAACATTTTATTTGAAATAGCCCAAAAACACAGATGAAGCCCCAATGTCCCAATTTTCCACTAGCACATGAATGCAGGTTACATTTGGGAATCTGTAACGTTACCTGCACATGTGACCTTTTCTGAGCATATCAGGCAACGGCAAGGGAGAAACACTTTTACACATTTGCACAGACAGGGAGTTTTTTGAGAGCAAAACTGATCAAACTTGTAAAGTTGAACTTAACATTTTGTGTGTAAATTATTACTTTTTAATTATATATAAATTAATTCAGTTCAATTCACTTTTATTCATACAGTGCTATTGTAAGGTAGTCCCTACAATAACGCATGCAGAGAAGAGCCCAACAATCATATGACCTATGAGCAAGCACTTTGGCAAGTGTGGGAAGGAAAAACTTCCTTTTAACAGGAAGAAACCTCCAGCAGAACCAGGCTCAGGAAGGAGCGGCCATCTGCTGCGACTGGTTGGGGTAAGAGAAGGAAGACAGGACGAAAGACATACTGTTGAAGAGAGACAGATATGTATGATTCGATGCAGAGAGGTCTATTAACACATGTTGAGTGAGAAAAATGACTGAAAAGGAAATACTCAATGCATCATGGGTGGATGTCATCATGGGAGTCCCCCAGCAGCCTACTGTCTGCTGGGGGTCAGCTGGTCCAGCCCTAACTATATGCTTTAGCATAAAGGAAAGTTTCAAGTCTGATCTTAAAAGTAGAGATAGTGTCTGTCTCCTGAAAATGTATGCTGTCTTTTGAAGATACTGCCTAAGGGAAGCATGTATAATATAAATAGAATTGGTACTAGCACTGAACCCTCTGCATCCTCTTCACACACTAATTTAACTTAGTGTGTGAAGAGAACTCTCCATTTACACGAACAAATTGGAATCTATTAGATAAATATGATACAAGCCACTGCAGCGCAGTACCATTAATACCTACAGCATGTTCTAGTCATTCTAATAGAATATTGGGTCAACAGTATCGAACACTGCACTGAGGTCTTGTAGGACAAGCACAGAGATGAGTTCACTGTCAGAGGCCATAAGAAGAGCATTTGTAACCTTCAATACAGCTGTTTCTGTGCTGTGATAAACTCTGAAACCTGACTGAAAATCCAGGGAGCCAGGCATTAAACCACCAACCTTCTTATTAGTAGATTAGTAGATGACCTGACCTACAGACATCCTCCACATTTGTAACCCTTACGAGACAAATAAGGGTTACAAATATCCTTGTCTTATAGTCCTATAGTAACATTATATTTGTCTCCTTCCTTTTGTGTGTGATCTTCACATATATGAACATTGTATTTCATTTTGTCATTCTGACTTGTTGTATTGGGCTTTTTCCATATGTACACATGGCATTAATTACATGTGCTCTTTGCTCTTTCTAATATTTCTCTCGATAACACTTTATGTCTTTCTTTTAATTTCTTTTATGATCTTAAATTTACAGATGCTGTACCAGTTTAAAAACTCCCTGGGGAGAAATAAAGAAATAGAATAGCACACAGAAAATTCATGTGACTAACAGTTGGATACGTCATGTTTTCTCTTTTACAAATCATGATAATTAAGGAAAGAAAAGAGCACATGCAGAACAGTTAATTAGAGCCAAATGTTTACAAGATTGACAGTTAATTTAAAAATTCCTCACCTGCAGACCAGACAAACTTTGGTTGACTGTGATCAGTGTGATACTCTGGGTCTCCTCTTCCAGCTCTGCACACATATCCTGCTGTGTGTGTCTGTCCATGAATGATGTAGGAGTCCTGTGCAGTCCCACTGCCATCAGGTAGCAGCTCATAACTGGAGGATTTCTCTGATAGATCAGGAACAGCTTTATACCAGTAGAAGCTCCATCCTGCAGACGGATGTTCAACCTCACAGTTCAGAGTTACTGAGGCTCCAGGACTCAGCCATGATGGAGACACAGTGAGGACAGGACGGGGTTTATCTGTTAGGAAATTCTTGGAGTGATGATCAAATACATGCCAATCCATAAATACAATGCATGTATGCTACATTTTTAGCATGGTAGCGCCATAAATTTGAACTATTATCTCATCACATAATTAATCAAAAATGACTGGGTGAATGGATTATGATTTTACTTACTGTGTGATACTATCAAATTTAAAGGAACACTCCACTCTGTTAAATGATCTTGTGCAATTTTGCTTCTGCCTCTACACTTGTAGTGACCATTGTTAGATGGAGAAGCAGAATCTACTCTGAGTTCACTTTGGTTTGATGGTTTATGTGAGCTTGTAGTTCTCCATTCATACTCCCACTCAGTGTCTCCTCCTTGGATCTCACAGCTGAGAGTGATCATTTCTCCACTGTATAATGTGGGCCAGTCGGGTTGCACTGTTACAACGGCACTGGCTGGCCCTATTCATTCAAACATTTAAATAAAAAACTATTTAAAGTAACCATCACTATTTTGAGTTTTGCAATCATATGAATACAGATCATGAAATTATTTATGATTGCTGAATCCAAACTCACTGGTTTTGTTAATTTGAACTTCTTGGCTTCCCTCTGTGTAGTAAGCTGGGTTTCCTCTTTTTGCTTTGCAACTGTAGAGTCCTTCCTGTGAGACACTGAGTTGTCCATCAGACGAGGAGAAATTCAGTAGGATATTATCTCTGTACCAGAAGTATATCCATCCAGATGATGATGATGATGGGTTCACAGAGCAGGTTAGGGTCACACTGCCCCCTAACGGAAGAGTTGTGTTGTCAGCGCTCAGTGTGGGCTTTGGTTTAGCTGCAGTTCAGTTTAGAAAAAGAACATAAAAGTAAATGAGACTGAGTGACATTAATATAAATAAATTGATATTTTCTCTTGTGAATTGTTAAACCATATAATGAGCCAGGACGACTGTGGAAACATTTCTGAACTGACAAAGCTCTAAAAAGCTGGCACTAATGAATGTAAATATACACATAAATGAATAAGATTTATTTATTTTAGTTGATATATGAGTCGATGCACATTAAGCTAAACAAGTGTGATTTCAGTGACACCTGAATAATGAGAAATGGATAACAATCTTTTCATTATTTCACAAAAAACCTGTGTAGCACATGTTGCTCATGTGTCCACACTTTTTAACCAAAACCTGAAAACGTTATGGATTGATTACTAAATACTGTACACAAATATTAAATATTGAATTAACTACGGCATAATACAAATAATACACAATTTTGTAACAAATAATACTACAATTTTTTTACTAATAACACTATAATAATTTTCAACAAATGACTTCAGATTAAGTTTCTCCAACTTACATGATACAGTCAGTGTGATGATATCACTCCACTCTGAGAAGAAATAGTCCCTTCTGCCCCGGCAGCTGTATCCTCCACTGTCAGACTCAGTAGCTCTGATGATTCTGTATTCATTGGATGTTGGAGGTGTGTTTAACTTGGCTGCTCTCCAGTCATACGTCCACTGAGCTCCTTCACCTCCCTGAATCTCACATCTGACAGTGACTGTCTCACCGCTGTATATCTGAGTCCAGGGTGGCTGCAAGACCACAGTGGGCTTACTGGGAACTGTTCACAGAAAAATATCCAGTTAGAGACAAATAACAGCCTACAATGTCTGCTATTAATAAAATGAGAGTAGAGAGACTGAAAAGAAGGAAAAAAACAGCTGATTCAAGGATATAAACTGCTTGTCAGATTGAATATGATCAACACACATATATAGACATCACAATATCACATAAACAACTTGTGTTTAAACTTTAAGGGTCTGTTTTTAGTAATGTGTTGTAATATTTATTTTGCCTAGATATTATGTTTGATCTGTAATCTGCATATTAGTGGCTTCATAGTGTCATGGTTAACGCTGTCATTCACAGGGTTAGTACACTCCATTCAAGTTAATACTCTCCTAGTAAGGTTTGGGTGGCTGTGGCTCTACCTACTAACTGGAAGGTTGGTAGTTCAATCCCTGGCTGCTTCAGTATACATGTGTAGCAGGTTGGAAAAGGCTACATGTTTATTTTTGTAAGAAAACCAAATACCCCCTTATTTTTTGTTTATTATTGTGACTTATTTTGACATTGTTATGTGTTGCCAGGCCAAAGTTATATTTCATTATGCCAGTAGATATCTATACTATTGCTAATATATATTGTAATATATCTATATCACTAAAGCACTTCTGGATGGATGCAAACTGCATTTCGTTGCCCTGTACCTGTGCATGTGCAATGACAATAAAGTTGAATTCTAATTCTATTCTATTCTATTCTAGATGGTGCTCTTGCACTGCTGTGGAACTACCAGAGAGACTCTAGCTATAAGCTCTGCGCATGTGCAGCTCAGAAATAAATGAGTGCCGGCCTGACCAAGACGCTAACTTCCGTGCCCGCTATTAATCCACAGGTACTGACAAACAAACTTTTATGTTACTGAACTGGTTCTAAATGTCATGTAAGTTGAGTAACAACTATTTGGCCATATTTTGGGATGATTGTGATGATGTTGTTTTGTGGTATTTTGTTGTAATGAGTATTAGTGTATCATCGGCATAATGCTATTACGTTACATATCACTATAAGTATATGCTAAGACAGTGGCATTCTGCGACTTCAGAAAATGTGTTGTAGTGTTTGTTTTAGTATTAGCCAAGCAGTACTGAGTACATGTGTTAAGGGGAAAGCTTTTCGTTGGTGAAACAACATTTGCAGTCGTGTGCCGCCATATTGTATTGCGTTCGGGGGATGCCATGTTCAAAAGTAATAGCGTATATGGCGCGAATGTGGGGAAAGGTTGTGTGCAGGTGAGATGGGTTATTTTGGTATGTTGTTATGCTTTAGACGTGAGTGTTTTGTTTAAGTTGTGAGTATGTAAAGTTATTTTGAATTGGTTTGTATTTATTTTGATTTTGAGAGAATGCTTTTTGTAACTTTATTTTTGTTGATGAAATCTGTTTTATGGGAAGAATGCATGGTCTGGTGTGATTTGTATTTTGTATATGTTGCAGAAATAAATGAGCACCGGCCTGAGCAAGACGCTAACTTCGGTGTCCTCTCTACTAATCCACAGTTTGTTCATACTTGGCAACGCAATGCTCTCTAGCCTGTGTGCCGCTTGCTGCCGGTCCAGATTCCCCTAGGTCTGGTGCCGGTAACACATGCCAAATATCCTTGTTCCCTTTAGGTCGATTCACTCGGTATAACACATAAGTATGGGATATCATGCCCTCGCGTGTCCTGGCTGAAGAAACCTTTATTCACGCCTTTAAGGCAGATGACTTTAAGATGTGATGACACGCGCATGGCCCCCGCCCGCACATACAACCACTGTCATCCCTCAGTTCTTACGTTCTTCACCTTTCTGAGAACACTTCTGCTGAGTTAGGCTAGCTAGCTGCTGCTAGTTAGCTCCGTTGTCTGCAGACTTGAACTTAGCTTAACTGCCCCTGTTGGTGTTAGCCTCCATCGCGCAGTTGGTGTGTAGGCTGCCCGCGGAGTGCTAATTTCAAGTTTTCCTGTGCAGTTTTGGGTGTCCCGTGACTTCTCACGGGACACCCAACACTGCACTTGTTACGGTCATTTCAAGCCGGGTCATAACTTCACACACATGCCCGACCTTTTAACCAAATAGCTATTGCTACGGCTGCTCTGTCTGGACCTGAGGCAAGTGCACGGGAAGTCTGCCACACCCCCCACACCACAGCTCTTCAGTCGCCCTTTTATAGTTCACGTCCACTGCAGGAACCAGTTACATCAGGCCGTTCCTTAGGTCCACCAATCACAGCCGAGCCCCTGCACAGGTGAATTTGCATACACACATTAAGAAACAAATAACCCACCAACACACGAAAGCGTTTTGCTTTGCGTTTTGGAATGGACTCCAAACCGAAGCAATCAAAGCAGAAATCTTCTGTTCGCCCCTGTCCTCAGGGATGCGGTTTCTTTGCACGACAGCGACCAGCACGATGCCTGGGGATCATCCACGCTAGGAGAGCGCTGACGGAGCCCAAAGACTGTGCGTTTTGTCGCCAGCTCCGGCACTCGACCCTGGAAAGACAGGTGACATTTGTGGAAAAAGTGCTGGGGCGCTCGGCTGTCGCATGGCATGACCCTCACCTTTCCAGGTCTGAAGACGAGGATTATCCGGTCGATGTCCCTGCAATTACCTGGGCTGACCACATGGAATATGTTGACAGGTTAGCTGATGACGAGCCGGAACCATGCAGGAGCGCTGACGGGCTTCAGCTTGGGTTGAAGCCGCCAGCGCTCCCCAGGAAGATGATGCCGTGCTGGACATCGGCCTGGACATCCATGGTTTGCTGGAGGATGAGCAGGAGAGCTCATTGTCGGCCCAATGTGTCGCCGCTGCTGCGCCAGTCGGCTACGATGATACCTCTCTTTTCTCCCTGTTTCGCCGTGCTGCTGAGAAGTTGCAGGTGGACTGGCCCTCTCCTCCGCCAGCTAAGAAGCCGTTGCGGTTTGCGGCTTTTTTCCTCCCACCGGAGCCCGCAACGGCCAAAAACTGCCTTCCCATGTTCCCAGACTTTGTCTTCGAGCTAACAGCATCATGGGACAAACCTCTGTCTACCCGCGTCACTGTGCCCGGCTATGGACAGTACATGGAACTGGACGGTGCTGAGGGGGCTGGCTTAACTAACCCACCCCACTATGGAGCCGTCTCTGGCTGTTTATCTGGCCCCGTCCCATAACCATGGTGTCGGTGGCCCTGCAACTCTGCCGTCCAAGCACTTCAGATTCTCTGTGTAAAAGGTTAATATATGTGTTTAAGTTGAAATGTGTGGCTGGTAAATTTGAATTACACTAATAGTTAAAAAGTTAAGAGATAAAAAGACTTATGGGGATGTTAGTTCAGTTTATGTCTTCATACAAGGAAAAAAGGGAACACCCCAGTTATATTTTGGTCTTTGTTATATCGTTCAGTGTTGATTCAGTATTTTCTAATTACACTTTACATCTTCCATGGCATTACTTAAAAAATACCACTAGGTGGCGCATAGCGGCCAGGAGGAGCGTAAACCCCCCCTGGGAGGCAAATCTGCAGAATAAATCCTGCAGTTGAATTGTAAACAAGTTCATGATCTGTGCCTCTTTATTTCAATACACAGGTGGGTTACTAGTCCTCAAAATGACTAATAGGTAACACAGTAGAAGCAATACGACTGTTGTGAACTCGTGAATGAAAGTATACCGTTATAAGTTAAGTACTGTTGAAGTATTGTGTTTTGAATGAGATCGTGATGTGAACGTGATCGGCTAGGCTAATGGACTGGCTAGCGGGGGAAGTGAGCTTGAAGTACCGTAGCGATGCTAAGGCACGTTGTCAGTTGTGTGTTCTCTATATATCTTGTTGAAGTAAGACAGGATGCAAAGGCTGTAATTAATGCTTGCACAGCTGCTCATGTGCTGTATATGAATGGTTATTTGCTATTCACGGGCTGTGAGTTACAGTACATTGTATTTCTTGATGCAGTGATATGTATGTGTAACCGGAACCAAGGCTGAGGCAACCTGGTCACTGCGAGCCAATGTTATCTATATTTATGATGGTTAATGTATACTTGCCAAGGTTATTCCTGTACTTTTGACAATGCGCTGACAGCTGTTATGCCACACGTTACACATAATTGCTGGTTCTTATGAGAGGCGATTAATGATTTGTTCCCCTGTTGATGAGCAGAATAAATCCTGCAGTTGAATTGTAAACAAGTTCATGATCTGTGCCTCTTTATTTCAATACACAGCTGTGGGATCTAGGATCGCACCCCTCCCAGGCACCTGTCACACCAGGGGGGCAACATCTGCTTCGCAGCTAGAGAAGATTTATTGGGCTCAGGCCAGCACTGCTCACACCATGAGCTCCGTCAGTGCACTTTCCTAACACTGTCTCCCAAGCACAAACCCCCTGCACACAAAATGCCTCAGGTAACTCCCTGTTCAGTTGTGTTAAATGTTCAGTTGACCACATCAAGTGTTCCTGCTGTTTTTCATTGTTGTGCCCCAGGAAAGGTGCCTCCAAGAAAATGTATGAATGTACATGTTCCCATGTTACAATCAATAAAGAGTGTTGAATTCTCAAACAATCACAAATGCTCAGCCTGCAGGCAGAATGAACCAGGTCAGGCAGGTGATGCATTCCCCTGCAGACACACTGGGGAGCGACAACGCCCGGCCGACGGTGCTGCAGGTCAGCCGGCTGGCTGCTCACTTCCCTCAGTGGCGTGCTTGTGCTCCCTCTCCATGGGTGCTGCCAAACGTTGCCATGGGTACCGGTTGCAGTTCCGGGTCAAGCCGCCTCGTTTCCAGACAATCGTAAACACAACTGTTGGCATCGAGGCGGCCATGGTACTCAGACAGAAAATAAAGGCACTATGCAGAAAAGAGTAATACGAGTGGTCCCCGCTTCGGAGAGAGACAAAGGTTGGTACAGCCGTTATTTTGTTGTTCAGAAAAAAGTGGGAGGGCATCATCCCATCCTCGACCTGCGAGTCATGAACACGTATCTACGAACGTACAAGTTCAAGATGCTAACACTCAGACAACTCTTGA